ATATATATATATATATATGTATATATGAAAATGTAACTCGAAGTAAGTTTTCTTTTTTTGTGGGGTCATGAGAACGCATTCCTTCGCCCCCTTGGTGCATTAATGCGCGTTTACACGAATGAGCTGCATTTGCCCAAATCAAGTTGGTTGATTACTCACAAATTAATTTACAAAGAATTATGGTTCTGTAAACGTAAAAAACATTTATTATGAGTCACGACTTCACCTCCTTCCTTCCTTTCCTCTATATATATATATATGTATATATGAAAATGTAACTCGAAGTAAGTTTTCTTTTTTTGTGGGGTCATGAGAACGCATTCCTTCGCCCCCTTGGTGCATTAATGCGCGTTTACACGAATGAGCTGCATTTGCCCAAATCAAGTTGGTTGATTACTCACAAATTAATTTCCAAAGAATTATGGTTCTGTAAACGTAAAAACATTTATTATGAGTCATGACTTCACCTCCTTCCTTCCTTGCCTCCTTCCTTCCTTCCATCCTCCCTCCCTCTCTCCTTAATCCCATAATGCACCGCGCCGAGTCACTCAGATCATGGACCAAAGCGGTAAGTGTTATTTCCTCACTCCCCCTAATCGCAATCCGAAACTGTTTTTTTTTTAGATGAAAAAAAATATCGCCCCAGAGTGGAGAAATATTAAGTTCAGAAGATGGTCAAAAGTGCTGAATCGCGTTGTTAGAGGACAGAAGCTTAACGTTCCGTTAAACATGGGCCAGATTAGCGTCAACTAGCAACTGATCCTTCCCAAATAGTCGATAAAAGTTCACAAAAAACCCACCACTGAAACATTTCATACGGGCTATAATAGCGATCACACTGATTTAAACTTGGAACTAATCCATATTCACACTGTAGAAATGCTACTTGATGTTACAATGGCGGTGAGAAGCCTATCTGAATGCTAACATAGTTAGCATCGATGCTTCAAGAGCTAACACGACAAATTTGACGACATTGGAGTCATATTTTTATTTCAGGATTGATTTAAAGAGTTAAGATTGGGCTCCTTTAAGTTCTGGGAGGCGGTAAAAAAAATGGCATCTTAAAAAGTTTTCTTCTTATAATATTCATAGTTTTTCTCCCAACTCTCCTGCAGCTTCTCTGCTTCCTATCTGTGCCTCAGGTCAAAAGTTTTCAAATTGTGATTTATATATTTTTTTTCCTTGGCAGACAACGATCTCCAAGGAAGTGATGGCTCAGGGAGTCTGGGCGGCCCAGACGTCCGCAGGCGCATCCCCATCAAGCTCATCTCCAAGCAGCCCCTGAGGATCAAACCTCCGCCCCGTGTGCAGAGACCAGGCAACAGGCCGCAGTTGAAGACCGAAACTGCAGAAAAAGATGGTACACGTTTTTTTCAACCACCAGACAAACCTCACTTCTGGTTGCTTCATCCTTTCTGTTTGTGCCTCACAGATAACTTTGGCTTCAAGCAAGATAAGTTTGACTGTGGGGGTAAAGCGGGAGATGTGTTTGCTGCCCAGAGGAGATACCCACAGCCGCTGTTTTGGGACTATAAGGTATTCTTAAAATGCTGAGTCGTGTGGATGGATTCTGACCTTTTTTTCCCTCCCCTGGAAACAGTTGAATCTAATCGGCGAAAGGGATGAAGTCCCAATTCACTTCTGTGACAAATGCGGGCTTCCCATTCAGCTGTACGGACGCATGGTACGTGCCCAACAGTTTGGGACTTGTCCCAAACAAAAAGCGGGGGGAAAAAAAAAAAAAGTTGACCTTCATTACTCTCACCAGATTCCTTGCAAACATGTCTTCTGCTACGAATGTGCTTTGCTGCATGAAAAGAAAGGAGAGAAGCTGTGCCCTGGGTAAGATTTCAAGATGTGTGCATTTAAAAAAAAAAAGAATTGAGTCGTTCCAAGGCGGCTTAATATGTTTGAATGTGTTCATTGTTTTAAATTTTTCTGGGTCTGCATGTTTTGTGTTCAGTCTGACCATGTACAGCTGCACAGACCAGGTGCAGCGCATCGAGCAGTGCCAGCGGGGCTCGCTCTACATGTGCAGCGTGGTGTCGGGCTGCAAGCGCACCTACCTGTCTCAGCGGGACCTCCAAGCCCATGTCAACCACCGCCACTTGAGGTCGGCCAAGTCATCACCGGTGCGCCCAG